ATGCGCGCATGCCCGCCCGCACTGCCCTGTAGTCCAGGGCGGCCAGGCCCTGGACCTGGCTTCGCACCGTGGTCCCAGAGCCACCCGGCAAACAGTGCCCGGCAAAAGACCGGGATTCCAGAGCCCACTGATACGCAGACACAGTTCTTTACTTCTGGGGGTGGTAAGTGTCCTATGATTCACGTCAGGCACCTCTCCTTCCTCTCACCTCGGACCCCACTTTCTCCTCTGTCTCCTCTTTCTCCACTGTCCTGGGACAGAGAACACCAGGGTAGCACAGATGCAGTACTTTTCCTCCATTGCTTCATCTTAATCACACTCCCAAGTTGCCCTCCCCATGCAGCCCGAAAGCACCCGGGAATGGACCATGATGCACGGTGCATTCTCTTGCTGGCCCCCCACCCCAAGCACCTCTGGTCAGCAAGTCTCCTCGTAGCAGCCAAGAGCCAAGGGAGCAACACCCAGTCCAGGGCAACATGGCCAGCCCAGCAGGACCAGCGCCTTTGGGGCCTTTAGCTGGAACTTTGAGTTGGATGGAGAGCACAGCACTTACAGGCCGAGAAGCAGTTTCTAGCCAGCAGAACAAGGGAGCCGTCCGCTCACGCGTTAAAAAGATACAATGTGTATGTGCTGTATTAGCTTGCTAGGGCTGCCATCACAAAGTACCACAGACTGAGTGGCTTAAACACTTAAATTAATTTTCTCCCAGTTCTGGAGGCTGGACGTCCAAGATCAAGGATTGGTTTCTTCTGAGATCTCTCCTTTTTGCTTGTAGATGACCGTCTTCTCGTTTTCTTCACATGGTCTTCCCTCTGTATATGTCTATGTCAAAATGCCCTCTTCCTGTAAGGACACCAGTCGGGCTGGATTAGGGCCCAATTTACAGACTTCGTTTTAACTTAATTACCCCTTTAAAGACCTTATCTCCAAATACAGTCACATTCTGAGATAGTACGGGTAAGGATTTCAACATATGAATTTTGAGGGGAACACGGGTCAGCTCATAACATGTAAAATGAGATATTCATTTGAGCACCTACCATGTGCAGCCAAACAACCAGGTAACTATCACATGTAATGATTAAAAATGTTAGGGGCACACCATGGCCAGGCACTGTATTGTGGACTTTATGCATCATTTAATCTTCACAACCACCTATAAGGTAGGTATTTTTAAGGAAGGTGTTTGTACAGATGAGGGAACTGAAGCTCAGGGAAGATAAGGAAGTCAGTGTCTGCATCATATGATGCGGCAGTGGAGGATGGAAAAATTGGAATTCTAAATTCTGCATTCTAGTTCTAGCTGCTTCCATCCCTGACTGGCTATGGAAGTGGAACTTTTAATTGAGTGACTAGATTTTACAGTAACTGATAAAGTACGTATTCCAAGTTCTTTCCATAGCCCCATGCTACTTCTCTGCTAAACCAGATATTAACTGGAAACAGTAATAGAAGACGGCAAGTTTAAAGACGAGGAAGTGTTCACTAAATAAGCAGACTGGTTTACAGTTAAGAGGATAAGAAAAACCAACTGGAGGTCAGTCTTTGAGTTAAAGCTAGTAGCCACCTCCCTTTTTCTCCATTCCAGGCTAAATTCCTCCCATAGTTTAAACAGTGCTGGTGGCTTCCAGCCTGAGTTGGGTCTGACTTTCCCTCTTGCATTTCCTAACAAATTTCCCCCATGTTCTATTTGATACCCCGAGCAAAGACAATATAGCTTGTTTCCTGTACCAAAAATAGCCTTGGAAACCAGAGTGTGAAATGTATTGACCCTTTAGTTTCGGTTGGAGCTGCAAAACCTCAGTCCCTGTGTCTTAGTCTGTCATTCTTGACCACTCTGATCATCTACATTCTCATTTCCAAACTCACTCTCGCACCCACTGCTCCCTTTCCCAAGACCCTTCTGACTGAGCCCTCCTACACCAAAAGTCTGTAGTCAGTAACTCCCCTGAGCCTTGGCCTGTTCAGCAAGCCCTCCCTCCACTTCCTGCTGTGGCTCAGAATAAGCCAGGCCCCAAAATACCACTTCCCCCTCAGCTCTTTCTGATGGTGGTTACTCATTCTCCCACACCCCACACATCTATAGGATAGGGTGGGGGGTGGGTAGAGAATTTGCCCCCACTGCCCCAAACCTTGAATTTTCATTCTCATGTTAAAACCACTTGCTGGGCACCTGGGTGCCTCAGTCGGTTAAGTGTCCAACTCTTGATTCAGCTCAGGTCATGGTCTCACGGTTCAAAGGATCAAGTCCTGAGTCGGGGTTTGGATTCTCTCTCTCTCTCTCTCTCTCTCTCTCAATCTCAAATAAGTAAGTAAATAAATAAATAAATATTTATTTTAATTTTTAATTATTTTAATTTAATTATTAAGTGTCTCTGTTACTTACATTATCTGGCACCAAGTGCCTACTCAGGGAAATTTATGGGATGAATGAATGAATGAATGAATGATCAAGTAATGTATAAACAGCAGGAGCTAGACATAGTCCAATGGAGGGGTCTCTGGGCCCCAATGAAACCTCTGGGTGAACTTCCAGCTTCTTCAGAGCACATATTTTCAAATCTCATGATCCTGGGTTCAAATCTCAGTGCAACAACATACTAGCTCCAAATACCTGGGACAGTCCCTTCACCTACTGCTAAAGGAGTCAGTAAGGAGGAAGTTAAATCATATATGTGCATGTTCCTGTGTGTCTGGCACAGAGTAAGTCCCCAATAGTCACTAATGTTTTCTTCCCTTCCTTCCCAACCCACCCACTCCCTGCTCAGCTAAAAGCTGCTCCCTGCCACTGTCTCCCTGTCCTTTGAGAGACAGAGAATCCAAGGTCTCAGCTCAGTCCAAGAGAGGGGAGCAAAACTGTCAGGGACTGAGCATCTTTACACATCTTGTACCTGGGCCACCAGAGGACAGGGACTTGGCTCACCCATCCCAGGGTGAGAGCCAGAACATGCTCACTCGAGGTTTATGAATGAAACTAAACCTCTCGAATGTGTCAATGCTCCCCTGAGACCAGATCGAGCCAGAGGGAGCCTTGCTAGTGGACATTGTCAGAAGGCAGGGCTCCAGCCCACAGCACTGCTTGTGACACTCCAACCCTTGTCTGGGCCGCTGCTCTCTTTTGATGTTTTGACTCCCTGGCCTCTCCTCACAGAACACTCTACAAGTCTGGAGCTTAGAAGTTGGGGAGGAGCTTCTTGGCAATTGATCAAGGGCTTTCATTTTTCTTTAGCTGGGGAACCCCTTATTCAAACAAAGATCTCAAGTGGGAGCTGAAGTGGAGCCACTTGGCTGAGGAGAGGAACCTGCATTGGACACTACTGAACCAGATAGCTTGCCAAGAGACACCACCTGGCATCCAAATGGAATTTCTGCCCACCTGCTCCTCCTCCATTGGCAGCCTTTTGCATTTTTTTTATTGGGATAAAATTCACATACTATACAATTTGCCATTTTAAAGTGTAAAATTCAGTGGTTTTTAGTGTATTCACAAGGTTGTGCAATCATCACCGCTATTTAATTCCAGCACATTTTCATCATCCAAAAAGAAACCCTATACCCGTTAGGAATCACTCCCCCTTCCTTCCTCTTCCCAGTCCCTGGCAACCACTAATTTACTTTCTGTCTATGGATTTTCCTGTTCTGGACATTGCATATAAATGGAATCATACAATATGTGCTCTTTTGAATCTAGTCTCTTTCACTTACCATAGTGTTTTCAAGGTTTATCCATGTATCAATACTTCATTGCTTTTAAGGCAAATCTGTATTTCAAAGAACCTTTCTCTGCAGTAGATTTTGCACAGTTACACTTGAAAATTGTTAACTTTTTTGGCAGCTCAATAGGAAAGTTCAACTTTTTTTTTTTTTTTCACGTAAACTGCTCGCTTATTAGCATTGGTACTGCAACATAACAGTTTCCAGAAGATATGCTGAGCTGCACAGAGGTGGCAGAATGAGGCAAG